CCCTCACACCCCTCCACCCCCATACACCAGGGCATTTTCAACTTCGTGATTGCCTGGGCAGTCATGTTTGTCCCCGTCATCTTCTCAGACGCCGCAGCCAAAAAGGTCACCAACAAGGCCGCCTGGAGCACCGCAATCGCCTTCACAACCAACATAGCTTTCTTCCCCTTCCTCGCCCTCCGCGCCGCCCCCGAGCCCCCCGGCGCGCCAAAGCCGGCGCCGGGCGGCACCCAGGCGGCGCCGGGCTGGGGGGCCGCGACGGGCGCGATCTGCCTGGCGCTGTGCGGGCTGAGCGCGGCGTGGGCGGTCGCGGGGCGGCCGGAGATGGCGGGCGGGCTGGCGGAGCGGGCGGCCTACCTTCAAGAAGAGTTTGGAAGCAACAGGGTGAGCTGGGTTTCATCAGGACGGCCGCCTTGCTGCGTTCTCGAGGAGCAGGGTGGAATATGATGTCACCTGATGTCAGCTGCACCCCTGCACTGCATCATCCACGATGTTGCCGCGACCGCGGCCGCGAAGCGCCGCAACACCCGAGCAAGGCCCGACGACTGTTCACACTTGGTCCCTTTTCTCAACTCCATGTAACCCTCTGTTGAGTCATCCCTGCCGCCGCCCCCGCCCCCCCACCCCGCCCTTCCCCGCCCTCTCCAGGTGTTCTGGGCGTTCTTCCTGGACTGCGGACTGTTCTGGGCCTGGCAGGCCGTCCTGCTGGCTGGGGCGGAGGCGAAGTACCGCTTCGTCCCGGTGGCGGGCCTGGCGGCCTGGCTCATCGCGGGGAACGGGGCGCAGGGGCGGCAGCAAGCTGCCAAGCAGTAGGACACGCACGAAACCGCGGCCTTGTGAGAGAAAATGCGCACCTCATCCAGCACGCAGATTCGCGGTGCTGCAGAGGTGCCCAGTTTGCAGAGAGGCATGTTGACAAACCCGCCAGCCAGCCAATTGGGCAGGCAAGGCTGCAGACTACCTTTTTGTTTGTGAGGCATTTTGCCGACTGCTGCTAATGTAAATCCAATCCGTGAGACCTGACCAGATCTACTAGGTTCAACAAATATACCAGGTTTGCATTTTCAATGACAGCATTCCATAAAGTGGCACAATGGGTGCGCCAATGGCACCTCTGATGGGCTGCCCTGCGTGGCCAGGGCGACTGTCGATGATTAGCAACGTAAGAGCGCGCTTGCCCTACGGGTCCTGTGCGCAACGGGCGCGGCGGCGTGCTGCATGGCTCAGCCACCTGGGCGGCTGGAGGGCGGCAGAGTGGCACAGGACAGCTAGCGTCGTCAGGCTCAAGCCGCAGAAGCCTAGTGTCAAGGGTTCAGCAAGCGCAGCCCACAGTCAAACCCGGTGTCAGCTTCCCCGCAGCATGCACTGATGAAGCTGTCAACCCGGGAATCTGAGCTGCTCGCGCCGTGCAAAGTGCCTTTGCCGAAATTGCCACCGACACAAGGATGGGTCCCTGATTACAATGGTCTGCTCCACTGCTGTGCAACTCAAGCCACCCCTGACGGCTGCTGCTGCTGCTGCTGCTGCTGCTGCTGTTGCTGCTGCTGGCCGATAACCTCCTTGAGCCGCCGCACCGCCGTCGCCTTGATCTCTGCAATCTCAGCCCTGTGCGCCGCCTCCAAGGCAGCCACCCTCGAGTTGTGCTCAGCGCAGACCTCCGAAAACAGGTGCTCCAGCACGGGCGCGACCTCGCGCAGCGACACCCTGCCGCACGCGCCGCAGCGCGCCCGCGCCTGCTGCTGGGCGCCGCTGAGCGCTGCATACAGCCGCTGCCGCAGGGCGTTGTCTAGCGGCTGCGTCGGGCCAATCGCCGGCTGTTGGTGCGTATGCGGGGGCAGTTGCGCTGCAGCTGAGCTGTCCTCATCGTAGCTCCAGCCGCTGTACCCGCCGCCAGTCACCGCCATGAAAGGTGGCAGCGGCGGGGGG